TCCCACCATTTGAATTGCTTTAAACATCTACAGATTACGTGAACGTGAACTTTGTTCGGAATCTCTTATTAAGAAGTATTTTAAAAATATTTTCAAGGCTGAAGTTGTTTTTTATTTATCTAGTTTGAATCGTACGCAAGCACCCGGGCTTGAAGTAGCCAATTAAATTGCCATGATGGAGGAGAACGTCTGCCCTAGTAATAAGTGGGGATTTCAGACACATCGACCTACCAGAACCTATGCTCGCCACCAAGTCAGCAGACTGGTAGCATGGATGGACTGTTCGAATGTTAAACTACTTCCCGTGCCTCCCTTTCGTGCAGCATTACTGCTACTGTGTTGAAATTCACGTCACAATGAGCGAATGCGTTTTGGATTTGTGTGGTCTCTTTCAGTGAGGTGTAGGAAATGGAGCGGGGTTTTTTTGTCACAGGCTAACCTTAATCGAGGTTTTATGACTACTCCCTACGCTTAATTTAATTGGTATGCTCTCTCAAGATTTAATTGTTCTTATCTCCTACCCAATGACCTTTTCCACTAATTAGGGACTTGTTGCCCAATTTCCCTGATTAAAAGGTAAAAGCAGCCTGGTTGATTAACTTGGACTACTCCAACTATCACAGGTATGTTAGTTTTGGATAAGTAACAACTGGAGCTTCTTTGGGATTTGGTCAAGAAATGCGTCCTCCGTTTTGTCTGTCGTTTTGAGTTCTTAATGAAAGCTCAGAAATTAGTACAACATTATCCCAAGATGTAGACATCTTCCAAGAACTTATGCAATCGTGGAGCTGCTAGGGTATTCTTGAATCCTGGTAGGTTACGTACTTCGATTTTCCGCACGCTCATCTACGATCGTAGGATTTTTGCCAAGTAATTTAATTTCTTTGATAATGTTGCGAAGTACCTACAAATCTAACTTTTTTTCTGTAGAACATTTACGGATAAGGTCTTGAGTCCATACTTTCCCTTTACAATACCTCCTGAACGTAAAACTATATGAGATTGGTCAGACAGGCGGAAGACTTGGCTAAACTTTGATTGGGTCGAGATTAGTCAGCGGCAAAAGGCGTCCACCTTTAAAGTAGTCTATTACATTTCTCCCTTTTGAGCAAGTCTGTGAACTCGGTTTAGCTGATGATTATGAGATCAAAACACCGTACAATCCCCTCGAGTTATCCATGGCGGTGGTCGTCAAGGCAACACAGGCCTATGAATGAATAAATTATGATAGCACGGCCAAATGCCGTGAGGTAAGAAGAACTGTACAGTGGCGCTGCTGCGGGGACACTTACAGTCCTCTCTGATTGTCACATAATGCTGATACCTAGTTTTCACGTCGTGAAAGCTGAGTTTTCCCCCTCAGGTTCCTATCTCGAAGCTACTTTAATTATGATCAGGTGAGGCCTCCAACTCGCCTATTTTCTTTTGCAAGAATAAAAACCCCTTTCTAAATACAAAAGTGTTTAATTTGATTACCGATTAGCTACCGAGACATCCAGGACTCTCAGACGAGGTCATGTAACCGTGATATTTGATTGGCTGAGAACCAGTTTCACTTCCTCCTCCTAAATGTATAGCATTATCGACTTACAGATAGAGGTCTGAAAGGAAAGAAACTAAATTTGGGTAAAATTTCAGAAATTTTTGGTTTTTGCGCATTAGTTGAGCGTAAAAGTTTTACCCTGGTACCAGCAAGATGTCCTACGTGAATTGTGCATGTTGACTAACCTCAAGGGCTTTGAAAGTCTTACTGAAAGCTTCATTCAAGCTGTGTACATCTTATTTGAACACCAAACGCCAAAATTTTATCGCTGACTCCGTGGTGTTTTAATTTGTCGGCCTCGTCCGGTTGTATTTACGTCTTTTTAGCGAGTGAACCATTTTATGCGCCATACGATCCCACTAAAAGCCAAACTCGTGACTTAGAATAATGCTTTGTAACTTCAAACTTATCTTCTGGCTCAATTCAAGGTATTAGTGGTTTACTCGGTGCAACCAAAGATGCAGTACAATTCATCAAACGTCACTCCTTGCTCCTCAGTGTAACGTTTCTGTGGCGCGCTACGCCTCTATCATCTTCACAACAAATCTTTGAGAATCGTGGGAGAACTTTGTAACCATCGACACAAAAACGACTTGTGCAATCGGAAATAATCTAATCTGTATCAACAGCCGTGTTTCAGGTGGGTCTGTGGAAGAACTTCGCAACATCCGGCTTTCGAAGATGGGCGTGTATGAAGCCTTTCTTAGGTCCTTTTTAAGTCGTTATTTCAATGAGATGCTCTATGTAAATTGGGAAGTGTTTTGGATGCTTCGATATTATCTGCACTTGCGCCTTGACCCCGGTCCTTAATATCTCCTCGGGGTTGTAGTATATAATAACGTTTTCCCCGTTCTCTAAGGGGTGGCATCAAGCGTAATCCCCTTTCAGGAGGTGAATTCACAATCAGGGAAGGGATTAAGGGATTTATGATTCTGGTCTTACTGACTGAGTGTACAGATTGTAACACGAGTTGTTCAAAAGAGCACAAAAGTTTGGCTTTGGTCAGCTGAATTTATCCGAACATATGTCACATATTTGTGTCATGTTGATTGAAATAAGTGAGAAATCAGGCCATCATATATATACGGCACTGATAAAGAGCATAATAGACTATTCTTCTCTTCATGTGCTTCAGGATATGCGGAGGTACGCCTTCGCCTCATCGACCTACATCGAGCAGATTGATTTGGACATTAATCGCACCTTCCGTTCCACTACCTTCTTTAATGAGGCCTTCGGACCTCGTCAACAGGTCCTCTTCCGTATCCTTGCCGCCTACTCTATGTACAACACGGAGGTCGGCTACTGCCAGGTCAGTCGTAATAGCCAATCCAATCACTTCTCTCCACCCTACTATAATCATTAAGCCACAAGCCCGAAGAACGAGGCACGATCTGGTTATATTTCTGGCCAATACTACATTGTCAAGTGGGCTTGATAGGCTTCAAGTTTGGCTATCTGTAGCGGGTGCTTTCCTGTCTTCTTTTAGGTGGCAGCAAAAGCTACTGTATTCCTTATAAGTAGTAGAATAGGCCATGCGGCCCATCGTGGTTACTATGGCAGTGGCGTTATGGAGCCCAAGCGGAAAGAAATGGCTTTATCATTTGCGTACCTATAAAGAGGGTGCGAGCAGAGCCCCGTGCCACTGTCGTAAAGGGCGTTGCCCGAGAGCAATGTAAAGTCACCTCTGGTAACGCCAAATTAAATCACATTATTTCGATAGTAACATGGAAACCATTTATATCGCACGTGACTGAAGATCGTCTTTTACACACATAGTAATCACGTGGTGTGCAGATTGAAAGAGGCGATGCAATGCTTTGATCTGCAATCTTGAAGTGGGTTGGTTGAACTTTGCAACGCCATCTCATTTTTTGCGGTTTGAAATGGAGGTGTGTCTGTCTCTTTTGTTAGTGAAAATACTTTCGCCTCGTTTCTCTTCCACAGCATGCGATTCATTTTAAATCACGATTATTAAATTCGCATTCAAAAAGGTACTTCTCACTTAAACCATCGACTGACCTGCCATATGTACATCCACAGCCAGATTATGGCCCGCCAAACAGTTCGACTATTGACCTTTTGACCTTTACCTATCTTCTGTTTTGTGTATGGTTGGCTGATGCCTCCAAGAACAAGTGATATTTGGATAGGACGGTACCTTTCTCTCTCTCCCCCGTCCTAAATTGAAACCATTTTCGGGGGTCATTTCGGTAGCCTTGTCCGACTGGTTGACTAGTTCTGACCGCTTCTCACACCCATTCCAGTTGTCTCGTTTCAAGTAAATAGATTTTGGTGGAAGTGTTTGGTTTTCTGCAAGTGAATGGTTACGACTGCAGCCCATCCCGATCGATGGTAGCCATAGTCATGTGGGAGTGAAGTGGCAGAGCTGTGGGTACCTTAGAAGTGTGGAAATAACCACTGATATAGTCATCTACTTAACAAGCTACTCTAAAAACGGTGGGGTTTTATAAGGTAACAGAAGTGAGGTACAAGTTGATGACTTATGGGGAATATTTGCTCCCTGTCAAGTCGTATGCTTCGGATCCACTTGCTTAGATTCTACTGCAACTTTCCAGATCGATCTAGGTGTCAATCACAAGCTGTGATTCCTTATTATCAGTAACCGGGACTCCTTCGGATTAATTTTTAAAACATTTATGGGCAGTGCCTTCTGATACTGCAAACTCCCCAAAAGCTTTTACAATTTTAAGAATCGAGTTAAATTTTAGCTCAGAGCCGATAACCTCAAATCACCTCCACCAGATTTTACTGGTACTTTATAATATGAGGATTCAGATTTAGGAAGGAGGTGGCACAGAGGACAGCGGTGCTGTTACACACAAATCTACCCCTTAGAGTGTAGAAATCGGATGTTGCCATAGGCGATTTTAACAAATCAGGCTGAAAACTAACCTGACCTTTCGGTCACCTGGCAGCAGAGGTTGCCCGTACTATCTAGCTTAGCATCCATTATACCTATCCTTGCGTGCTTTTCCGTATTCCGTGGTTACTCGATCCTCCCTAATGAATGGCCCACGGACATTAGTCGGTTTAAAACTTGTCATTGACCCCGAAACTAGAAGTCAAAGCTGCGTCACAAAGTCCTAGACTTTTCCACTATGCACCCCGACTTAATGAATGGAGTGAAATGCTAAAGCGTAAGGGTTGGAGACTGTCTTAAGTGTAATGCTACAAAATAAGGACTTCGAATTTTTATTTTTTTGTTTGCTTTAAGCCTTCTCCCATCACCCTACTAATCAGTAAGCTTTTCGCAACCCAAAATTCAGCTTAGAGATTGCCTTCAACGCCTCTAGAAACCTAAATCAGCAGCTGTATGTTTCTCCCGGCTATGCGATTTGTGATGGCTTTTTTATGCTCTCGGAAACGTCTTTTAATGGCTCTGTATTTTTGCCTTGCCCACCCTGGTCTCTAGGGCATGAGCGACATAGCAGGCATGCTGCTGATCTATATAATGGATGAAGAGGAGGCGTTTTGGGCACTGGCACAGCTGCTGGATGGACCACACCACAAAATGCACTGCCTGTTTGTACGCGACTTTCCGGGCCTGCGGCGCTACTTCACGCACCACGATCGCGTCCTGCGCACACACCTGCGCAAGGTGTGGAAACACTTCCGCCGTGAGCACGTTGACTGCTGCACCTACGCCTTCAAGTGGTACATGCAGTGCTTCCTTGGACGGGTGGGTTATCCATCTCGTCCTTTGTTGGCTTAGTCGTTTTGGCCGATGAGTGTTATCCCCATAATAAAATGTAGAATGACGGCCTGGATGGGACTCTATAGATTAGATCAGGCGGACCTCTTTACCATTCCATTGTTCTTCTACGCCACTAGCAACGTAGAAGGGTAATAAGTCCGTTGATTCATTCTGAATGTTTCACGTTTTCATCAGTTCGCTATTTTGATGGTGCGCGAAAGTCTGCCTGGATGTCAATGCCATCTGGATGGCTCAAAGTGTTGCTTTTGCCGTTCTACATTATCCAGCTCTCTTTTTGGCTATGATCTAGCCTATCGGCTACTTCGCTTTCGGTTGTAGTCTTCTTTGATGAGCCAGGGCAATTCACTCATGAGTTCTGTCGGCAAAAGATGCGCACAACTTGACGGAGCTTCACTATGACTTCACGTCATTTTTACCGCGTAGCCCACACTTTAGTAATGTGGGGCTAAGTGATTCCTTTAAAAAACGTGACGCTACGTCATGGAGACAAGGCACTTAGCATTCCATCGCATTAAACTTGGATGCCAAAAGGGGTTCATTTCGTCGGTCAATTTATTGTCCTTTATTCCATGTCGATTCTAGAAGTAACCACAGAAGGTAAGAAGTACGGAGGCAACACGCCCTTCCAGAATTGCTTAAAGCCCAAGTGATAAATGACCCTTGTTGCCTCGATTGGGGATTACGATGCTACACTTCTCTGTCACTCCTAACGTTTATGATGAAGTGTCTGATAAGAAAGTGATTGACGTAGAGGTCTCTTCCACCCCTTTACACGTTTATTGTCTATTTGCATGCATGTTTGTTTGGGCTATACTTTATGACTGATTATAGGTAAAACTTTTCATCAAATCTTGATAAAAAGCAC